AAATTACTAGAGATTCTCAGAACACTAATATATTGCCTATGTACCAACATATAATATACACGCTCGTTTAGATCATCAGGAGACAAACTCATAGATATTAAACATGGTAGGCTTACATATACTGTAGGTAAGATGACAGAAACGAGTGGTTCCATCACAAGCCTGCATAAACAGTATACAATTTAAAAGACAACATACACAATGACCTGAAGGATATGTGTGTTCATTCAAAGAAAGGTTTTCCTATGAATTAATTAGAGAAGAGTCCATTTTTACTGTGCATTGTGTCTCTTCCTATGGAAAGTGTACTGATTTTCTGTAGTCACATTCCTTTGGGCAATAAAACCAGTGATATCAGTGTTGGTTGCCATGGTGAAACGGGGCCATGAGGTGTTAAGACACATTTCGAGGGAAGGGTCCATAGGTCCTCATACAGCTTGTTAACTGAGGGGTGTTACAGAGTATTTGTTCAATATAGCTAACAAAATATATATTGTGTGTTTGATTGGTCCAGACGCTACAAATATCCCCCCTAGGTGTTGATCTAATATAATCTCACTTTTGTAACTGAGATCACATCATCTCCCCCTCTTTTGTTTGGTACAGTCTTATGAGATAAAAGTGCGGCGGGGCCAGTGGTGGTCCGCATTTCCTTCTGACAGCATCAGAGAAGCATTCCAGGTTCAGGGTATCATTGCTAAATGTTCTAGATACCTGATTATCAGGGTCCATGTGAAATTAAAGGGTTAGTTCACCCAAAAATTAAAATTCTGTAATTAATTACTCTAAGACCTTTGTTCATCTTCGAAACACAAATTAATATATTTTTTATTAATTCTTAGAGCTCTCTGACCCTCCACAGACAGCAATGTAATTACCAGAAACATAGCAAGGAGATCGGTAAAATAATCCATGTGACATCAGCGGTTCAACCATAATTTTACGAAGCTACGAGAATACTTTTTGTATGCAAAGAAAACTAAAATAACGACTTTATTCAACAATTCGTCTCCCCACTCTAGCGCCATTTTGGAGAATATCCACTGAAGGCAAACAGCCTGTGCTATTCTGTGTCAGTTGCGTCACATTGATACATTTTCTATATTGTTTACACTTTGATTTGAATGAAAACAACATATCCTGCAGCTACAACGCAGCTGACACAGAATAGAATACGCTGTTTGCGTTCAGTGGATATTCTCCAAAATGGCGCTAGGGTGACGCGGAGGAGATGAATTGTTGAAAAAAGTCGTTATTTTTGTTTTCTTTGCGTACAAAAAGTATTCGCGTAGCTTCATAATATTATGGTTGAACTGCTTACTTCATAAGTGTATAATATAACATGGATTATTTTACCGATCTCCTTGCTACGTTTCTGGACCTTGATCGTGGTAATTACATTGCTGTCTATGAGAGGGTCAAAGAAATCTCAGAATTCATCAAAAATATCTTAATTTGTGTTCCGAAGATGAACGGAGGTTTTTTTTATTTGGCTAACAGGTACAACTATCCTTTCAAAGGGCTTTTATACATGTGCTACTTTATAAACACTCTCTTAGACCTAAATCATACATTTATTTTTATACACAAGTATGTGAACACAAATAGTACACAAGCTTAAATTAACATGTTGTAAAATGTGTCTGAATTCACATTGTTTCCGAGAGGGATAGCTGTTCCCATAATAGTCTTCTTCTATGTCAGTTCCCTTTCGTGGAACTTCGAACTGCGTCCTCTAGGGGTCGCTATGGCCGATTTCGAAAATTGCATACTGTGAAAGCACTACATTTGAAGAAGAACTTAGTTTGCGACCAATAAAAAAGTTTATGTTCTGTTACTTCTTTCAGGGACAGGCAACTCCAGTCCTGGAGGGCCACTGTCCTGCATAGTTTAGCTACATCGCAAATGAAACACACCTGCTTGTAATTTTCAAACAATCCTTTAGACTTTTGTTAGGTTTTTCAGGTATGTTTGATTGGGGATGGAGATAAACTCTGCAGGAGAGTGGCCTTCCAGGACTGGAGTTGCCCATCTACTTCCTCCATGTTAGTATTTTCATGTGACATACATTGTAACTTATGTTGCTTCCACATCATTATTAATCCTCTCCCAAGGCCTCATGGGATAGTAAATTATCCTTTGTATGCATACTTCAAAATACTGCAGGTACTAGTATGTCACCCAGGTACCTTTCGACTATTGCAGAATACTGCAAATACTTATGAATACTCTGAATTCAGACATACTACACTCTTAATGTAGCCTACTGTTGTTTGTTTTTTTGCCTACTATATAGTAGGGAACTGGGCATATTCAGACATGGAGACTGGCACCATTCTGATATATAACATCTGCTTTTCATCACCCAGACAGTTCATTTTCACTAAGAATATGAAATGATTTGAAGTCAGATCCTCTTTCATATGAAAGTGCACCACTGTATGTCACTGTAACAACTCGGTGGTCGTAATGAAATGCATGACGATACAATATTTTAATAAGTAAATCCAACTGGAACAAGAAAACTCAGGAGTAGAGAAGTACAACCACACACACATAGAAGCTGACGATGAAACTAAGGAAACTCAGGGCTTATAGCTACAAGAGGAGGGTAATCAGGGAGAACAGAAACAGGAGTGTAAGACTTTAACAAATGAGGAAACTAACCAGGAATTAGACAGGCAACACAAGGAAAACTAAAGCAAGACAGACTAAATGTGACAGACACCACATGTAGCCTAGGTTCCTGTCTCAGCTTCTTAATAGTTAACATAATTGGCCAAAGTTAGGATAATGGAAAGTTTGAATGCCTTCCAGACCTGCATTAATGATTTATTCTGATTCCTGCAAATCACATGACTGACAGAAAAACTGAAACTGAAAGCAAAACTGGAAAAGTCTAATATAATATTTTGCAGAGAAAGATATATTACTCTTAATCATATTACACTTAGCCATTAATCATTCATTCAATAAGGGGATTTTAGGTGTTGATCTAATATAATCTCACTTTTGTAACTGAGATCACATCATCTCCCCCTCTGTTGTTTGGTACAGTCCTATGAGATAAAAGAGAGGTGGGACCAGTGGTGGTCCGCATTCCCTTCCGACAGCATCAGAGAAGCATTCCAAGTCCAGGGTAAGTGTCTGTAATTTCTTTATGTAGCATTAATTTATATTCATGGCTGCTTGTGACCTACAGTACTGTGCAAAAATATTAAGCATAAAAAATTTATCAAAGAAAAAAAAGAGAGGTGGGACCAGTGGTGGTCCGCATTCCCTTCCGACAGCATCAGAGAAGCATTCCAAGTCCAGGGTAAGTGTCTGTAATTTCTTTATGTAGCATTAATTTATATTCATGGCTGCTTGTGACCTACAGTACTGTGCAAAAATCTTAAGCATAAAAAAAGATTTCAGTTATGTCTGTTGCTTTAATGTGTCAGTGGGAAATATTAGTTTACATTTCCAAAAATCACTTCTGCTATTAATTGTAATTATCCAGTGAGATGCAGTGTATGCACAAGTTTCAGTGGTCTGGCATAACTACGGAAGGCCTTTTATCTAAATGTGACTTTTTATCTCACAATTAAGGGTTTCCATCACCCTGCTTTTATGCGCATATCGCATCAGAATCGAGTGATGAAAACGCTGAATTTCGAATAAAAATGCCTTAATTTGCAAAAAAAGGTTTTACGCTCGCTTGAGGTGGTTTTTGACTTGTGCGAAAAAGGGTTAATGCGAATAATGGGAGATGGAAATGCATTTACTGATGCCTCTTTCTATCCCGAATCTTTGAAACATGCGTTGTATGTGTTGAAAGTGAAACCTAAAAAAGCAGCTCACATAAGAAAGCGATTGCACGCTTTCACGAGCTTCAGCAAATGCACGCGATCACAGATTGCACGCTTCCCAGCCAAAACAACCCCCCACGTAAAATTGATAATAACCCGTGATAAGTTTTTGGCCATATTGCCCATCTAAATCATTCAGCCCCCACACTATCAACAGCCACATCATGTAGGCTACACTTCTTGTACTTCGTTTGGGCACCACAAGGTGTCACTTTAGCCTCAAAACCTTACCCCTCGCCTACTCTGGCTCGATTGCTATTCCTGAGGTAAAACACGCCCTCCTCATTAGCCTAAGGACAAAGAAATGTAGAAATAAATGAATGTTAAAATAAATACATGTAGAAATAAATAAATGTGGAAGTAAATAAATAAATGCATAAATAAATACATAAATGTGAAAATAAATAAAAGTGGAAATAAATAAATAAAAGAAGAAAATAATGAATGTGGAAAAAAAAAAACATAAATAAGGAAATACAATTATTAAAAAAATTATTTACTTTTGCTTTTTTACTTTTCTTTGCATATTTATTTATATTTACTTTTCTTTGTACATTTCTTTATTTCTAATTATGGAAGAGATGGCATTCCATACATCTCTGCTTGGATCATGATTAAAATGCATTGTGCCTCTATATGGAAAGAGCACAGGCAAAGCCTTGGTTTATGTATATGAAGAGATTTGGTTTGTGTTATTTATTTATTTGATTTGGGGTTGGTTTTAAATTTGCAATTTAGTTTTGTTATTTGACATATTTCAATTTCACAAAGAAAAATGTGCAGCATTTTGTCCAAGAAATAATAAAGGACATATTTTAATTTATAATTTATCTTAAATCTAATTTTTTTGAAAAAAGATTGTGAGAAAATTAATTGTATCACATTGTGAGTTGAGTGAATTGTTACATCCCTACCAGACAGTGATGCATCTGGTCAGCACACTGCGATACAATCTTGCTGGTTTTCTTATTCTGAGTTCCATTCACTCAGATAGGTTGATGTGGTGAGTTGACTGCAGTCTGCGGATTTGAGGACTTGTGAAAAACATGAATATTCATAATTAATTGCACTTAATTAATGAATGAGTGCAGTGCTGACTGGGCAAGAGACAGCAAAAGTAACCCATTTTGGTCTCGTTTACAGGGAACATCATGAAGAAACTACTGGAAAACTTGGGTTTGGCAGAGTACTATGATAAGAAGCTCACTCTACACACAGTGCTGCAGATTGACAAGACCAGTATCACAGATGTGCCGGTCCAGTCCCTTTCAGATCTGCCATGGCTGTTCTTGAAGAGACTGATGATGCTACAAAGGACAGCGAGGAGCGTTAAGTGTTCCTCATCAGATGGGACAGAAGATTCAGAGTGGGATGATGATCAGGAGGCTGAATCAGACTGTCCTCAGTCAGTAAATCCTTTAGACATTTTGACTGCTGTGTTTCTTTGTTCTGACAGTTTTCTTCAGCAGGAAATGATCATAAAAATGTCCATGTGTCAGTTTGCTGTTCCTCTCCTGCTTCCAAACACTGATAACAGTCAGATCACTCTTATGCTTTGGGCAATGAGAGATATTGTGAAAAAATACATACCACACACCCTATCAGATCCAAGTGCATTTGTGGAAGAAAGGATTGCTCTTTCAGAATTACCTTTAGTGTCTTTTGTGAGACTTGGTAGATGCAACATTTCCAAATCAGAAATTCTGAATAAGCTGCTCAGCAATCCACAGCAGTACACTGATACCTTTGTGCACTTCAACATGGATTGTGGAAACATCAGTAAGAAAATATCAGATGGCTTGGTTGACATGGCCTGGTATCTTCCTTGTGGAAACAAGAACATTGATGTCTTTCCTGAACCTGTAGCGATTGCCAACTTGAGAGGTGACATTCAGAACTTTAGAACACAGTACACTTTTCTTTGTGAGGCTTCAACTGCTGTGTTTGTGTTCTTTGAATCCCAACTTTTAGATTCACAGTTAATTTCAGTCCCCAGTCAGAAATCTACACCTCAGCAATTCTTTGTAGGGGACTCCAACAATGAGAACATAAAAGATGCACTTTACCGAAAACAGCTGGAACATTTACCTAAACTCTGTGCTCAACTACTGCTGGATGGATTTTCACTTGAACTTGTGGATGGAGATTCTTCAAATATCCCTGAAAAATGGATTACTAGTGTGTTTTCTGAACTAAACGCACTGGTGGAGCCCAAAAACAAGATTATGGTTGTCACCGTTTTGGGCGTCCAGAGTTCAGGAAAGTCAACGCTGCTGAACACCATGTTTGGAGTTCAGTTTGCAGTGAGCAGTGGAAGGTGCACCAGGGGAGCCTTTATGCAGCTCATTAAAGTAACAGAAGAGCGTAAAGCAGAACTCCAATGTGATTATATAATGATAATTGACACTGAAGGACTGAAATCCCCCGAGCTCGCACAACTGGACAACAGCTATGAACATGACAATGAGTTGGCAACTCTTGTTGTTGGACTGAGTGATGTAACAATTGTCATCATCGCCATGGAAAACTCCACAGAGATGAAAGACATTTTACAGATCATTGTTCATGCCTTCCTCAGGATGGAGGAAATAGGTAAGAAACACAAGTGTTTGTTTGTACACCAGAATGTTGCTGATGTCTCAGCTCATAATTCAAACATGAGAGACCGTAAATTTCTTTTGGAGCAACTGGATGAAATGACACAAGCTGCAGCCAAAATGGAGAACAAACTGGAGGTCAAGAAATTTACAGATTTGATGAATTATGACACTGAGACGGGTGATCACTACTTCCCTGGATTGTGGCATGGAAACCCCCCAATGGCACCAGTGAGTATTGGCTATAGTGAGTCTGTGTATGCTCTCAAAAAGCATATAATGGAGATCTTTAAATGTTACAAGCCCAGCACAATCAATGAATTTCTTAAATGGACCAAAGACTTGTGGACTGCTGTGAAATTTGAGAATTTCATCTTTAGCTTCAGAAATAGCCTGGTGGCTGATGCATACATGAAACTGTGCACAGAGTACAACAGATGGGACTGGACACTGAGAAAACAAATGCATACATGGACATTAGAAGCTGAAACGAATGTCTTAAACCATGGATAATTTGAAAACTCTGTGGAGTGCACTGTTGAAGATGTCCATTGTCATTTACTACAAGAGGCAGAATCTGAACTTTCAAAAGGACAAGACAAAATTATTGCCAAGATCCAATCATACTATGAACAAGGAGAAGGTCATGTTGAACTTGTGGAAAGTTATCGACAAGACTTTATAAACTCTGCCAAGTCTTTGAAGACAGAGCTTTCAAATTCAATCAGAATCAAATTGGATGCAGCTGTTTCACGTCGAAATGGAATGATGAAGTTGGAAGGAATCAAAAAGACATACATGGACACAATGGAGAAAAAA